CCACACTGAGATACCATCTCACCCCAGTTAGGATGGCTAATATACAAAAGACTGTGAATGAAAAATGCTGGCGAGGTTGCAGAGAAAAAAGAACTCTCATACATTGTCAGTGGGACTGCCAAATGGTGCAGCCTCTATGGAAAATGGTATGGAGGTTCCTCAAACAATTGCAGATAGATCTACCATATGACCCAGCTATCCCACTGCTGGGAATATACCCAGAGGAATGGAAATCATCAAGTTGAAGGTATACCTGTTCCCCAATGTTCATCGCAGCACTCTTTACAATAGCCAAGAGTTGGAAGCAGCCCAAATGCCCATCATCAGATGAGTGGATACAGAAAATATGGTATATCTACAGAAGAGAATACTACTATGCTATAAAAAAGAATGAAATACTGCCATTTGCAACGACATGGATGGACCTAGAGAGAATTATATTATGTGAAACGAGTCAGGCACAGAAAGAGAAATATCACATGTTCTCACTTATGTGTGGGATCTAAAAATAAATAAATAAATACACACAAAAAATCGGGGAGTAGGGGAGGGAAGAAGGCATAACAATCACAATTCCGTGAAGTTGATATGACAAGTGAACAGAAAGGACATTTTTGGGAAGGAGGGGGGAGAGGAAGGTGGAAGGGACGTTTCGGTAATGGGCCACAATAATCATCCACATTGTATATTGACAAAATAAAATAAAATTTGGAAGAAAAATTTAAAAAAAATAAATTTGATGAGAGAAATGTCAAGTGTTTTTACCACATACACACACACACACACACACACTCACACAACAGGTAACTCTCGGTGGTTATGGATTTGTTAGTTTATTTGATTGTGGTAATCAGTACACAATGTACACATACATAAAATCATCACATTGTACACCTGGAAAATATACCACTTTTATTTATCAATTAAATATCTTAAAATAAGATGAACAAAATCAGTGAATACCTAGAACTATGTCAAACATAGAAAATGAATTCAAGAAAGACATAATTAGTCAATAAATAGACTCACTTAAATATAAGCCTATCAGCCCATTTTGGATGAGTGACTTTGCTCAAATAGAAAGCAATCACAAAGTGAATGGAGGAAGGTAATTTGAGCAGATTTGTAATAAATTGTGAAGGGGGGTGTAGCAGAAATTACCATTAAGAAGTCAGAAACATACTAAAAATGAATTAGCAGAAATAAGCACTAAGTAGTTAGGAACATGCTGAAAAAGAAATAATCAGGCAGGTTTCCTTGATTTCTATCCTAATAAGTTCAGCCACCTCTGAGAAAGTAAGATTGAGAAGAAGCAGAATTTCTTTTAAATAGCCATTGCTAATGCTTTGTAGGTGTAAGTCTACCAGGAATAAAAGAAACGAAAAATGCTTCTTTTCAGAAAAGGAGGACTGTAAGGAAAATATTCATTCTCCATTGCCTCCTTCTTCACTTCAATCATTTTATGTGAGCTTCAGCATTTGGGACATTAATTCAACAGAAATGGTTAATATACTGATTCTCATATTGCTGAGCTACTGGGCTAATGAAAATGAACGCCACTAGGCCCCAATATCAGAAAACAATTTTTTCCCTAATTAAGCCACTTCCCTTGAGCTAGCATTTGGGAAGATCTACTCCCTGCATGAGAAAGCCTTCCTAAACGA